TTTTCTATTTAATCCATAGCTGGGGAGAGAAAGACGTACCTTTCCTAGTTATATTTGCGTGTAACTGAATGCAACAGACTGAACTGGAATTCGAACTCTGCTCTCTATTTTCATATTCTGAGCTGCTATCCATTACACCACCATCAACCTGTTCCCCACATATGTGCATGTTGTAGGTGCATGCATATATATATATATATATATATATATATATATATATATATATATATATATATATATATATATATATATATATATATATGTACGTGCATGTTGCATATGCATGCATATATATATATATATATATATATATATATATATATATATATATATATATACACACGATGTATGTTGTAGGCATGCATATGACATATATATATATATATATATATATATATATATATATATATATATACTCATATGCATTCACTCACAACATACACATATATACGTGTAATCTTATTTTAATGGACGTCACTTATTTTAGCTCTGATTTCACGCTGTTGAACTCGGTGTAGTTATCGAAGTTTCCATATTTGAAGTGGTTAAGGCGCTGTCCATTAAAGACAATAACTTCTTTGTGGGTATTAGGGTCATGTCTCAATCTAAGTTATTGACAAAACAAACAATGATGAGAGGAAATATGAGTTCGTAATAGACGAATAACAGGGAAAATGCTTCTGTTCAAAATTTGCCACTAACAACCCCAGTAACTGTGAAACTCAGTCAGTTTCGCGCCTCTCTTGACATTTTCGTGGGACACCGACAGACATTGGCACAAATACGCCGTGAGAAGTTTGCTACATACATATTCATGCGTTGGTATGCAAAAGAATTTGCAAAATGGTTTCAAGTATTAATTTAATTCGTTGTTCACTCTATGTAATTATGTCTCGATTTTGTGAGTCGTTCATTCCATCTCATTGTGTTTCGTAACTGCTGTAAATAATTCTATGCTTTCAATTGAGGCGACTTACATTAGACGCATGCGCATACCATCATATCCGACAAAGTAACCGCTATACGCAAGCAGATGTTAACTAGGCTTAGCTAGTCTGACATAAGGCCACGATAGAACTCATTCTACGAACAATAGATTAACTCACAAGCAACTGATCTATAAATTTTATTTGATAAGTGCAGAATAGTTTGACACAAGACCACATTAATGAGTCTTTAGTGAGAATCGATCGCATGACATGACCAAGTGGAAGAACTAAAGAGGAGAAAAATCCCTGTCCAGATTCTGACATATATATATATATATATATATATATATATATATATATATATATATATGAGATAGATATATAGATATATATATATGATGAACAAATTTATCTCTCTCTTTCTCTCTCTCTCTATATATATATATATATATATGATGATGAACAAATCTATATATCTATCTATCTATCTATCTATCTATCTATCTATCTATCTATCTATCTATATATATATATGATGAACAAATCTATATATCTATATATATATCTATATATATATATATATATATGATGAACAAATCTATATCTCTCTCTCTCTCTCTATATATATATATATATATATATATATATATATGTATATATGATGAACAAAGCTATCTATCTATCTATCTATCTATATATATATATATATGTATATATGATGAACAAAGCTATCTATCTATCTATCTATCTATCTATATATATATATATATATATGATGAACAAATCTATATATCAAACTAAAAACTCCTAAATGACGCGTTTCATTCTGAAGCGAGTTCTTCAGATCAATGATGATTTTATCGATAGAATCAGTTTAATGTATATTTTTACTTTCGTCAGTTAATTAGCACACACACACACACACATATATATATATATATGCGTCTGTGTTTGTATGTGTGTGAAAGAATTAATATAAGTAAAAGGTTTGTCACTTAGTTGTTTAATGTTATCTTCACCCCGACGCCAGAGTTTCGGAAACGGACACGAATTGTTAACAAAAAACGAAACTCTTTCAAAAAAATAAATATTATTTGGTTAGATTATGGCAAGTGGAGCGCGTCGGGAAACTTCCAGCATCTCTCTCTCTCTCTCTCTCTCGCTATATATATATATATATATATATATATATATATATATATATATATATATGGTCGTACACGTTTAGAAAAACCTTAGGTATTTCGGCTTGTAATTGGACAAACGAATGCCAAAGGAAAAATGAGGAATATAAAAAGAAAGAAGAACATGAAATTGAGACGAAAACAATCGTCCAGAATTTAAGTTCAGAGTCCAAAGAAAAAGACCATCAAAACGAGTAAAAGTAACTACGTAAAGTGCTCAATACACTAAGTAGAGCAAATCTAATATAAACCTAAAGAGCCAGGTAAACCTACCAAGGTTTCACCTACACGGATCATCAAGGGGAACTGGCCAAAGAGGTAAAAAAATACCTCTTTTACCTCTTTGGCCTGTTTACCCAGACGATCCTGTGGGTGAACCCTAGGTAGGCTTACCTGGTTTAAGTTTATATATATATATATATATATATATATATATATATATATATATATATATATATATATATATATATACCATATATATTCTCATATGTAAATAACAGTATTGGGAAATTAAATTTGTTATGTTGTACGACTACACATGCGCACAAACGTGGGGTGCTGGGGATTTTAGAATTTTTTTTTTTATATCTAGCAGAAACATGCCTAAATGGACAAACATTAGAAATTATTTTGATAGCTTTTCTTCGTTGGGTTGAAAAAATTTTCAGCTCTCGTAAATTGTTTTTATAAATAACGCTCCAAATTGTTTCATATAGCTGCCGCTTTACGTCATCATGTTTGGACGTGTGTCTTATATATATATATATTTGTGTATTTAGGCAGCAATCCTTCTTTCATGCACATTTCATTGAATACGAGAGACAAGGTGCTTTTATTTACTTCTTTTTATACATTTTCTCATGCGATCTAATAATTTTTTCTTTTCAGATGATAAATTATATAAACATGGAGACAATATATTGGCCGTGATTTGAAAAATGAAAACATTTTGTAAAACATACATGCAACAAACTATTTCTTATTTAACAGTTAAAATATTTAATCCTTGAAAATGGCTAAATGTATAGCCAAGCGCTCGGATAAAAAGAACATTCGGACAGTTTTTATATAATTTATCATCTGAAAAGAAAAAAAATTATTAGATCGCATGAGAAATTGTATAAAAAAATAAATAAAAAGCACGTCGTATTCAATGAAATGTCCATATATATATATATATATATATATATATATATATATATATATATATATATATATATATATATAAAAAGGAATTGGGATCAAATACAGATCAAATTTGAATGGGAATCAGACAGATTGATAAAATAAAGGAAGCGGTTGTAAATTTAACATATTTCGACTTTATTAAAGCTTCATCGGTGAATGAGATATGGGGAAAATCCTGCTATTTTTATTTTTGTCTTGTTCCATTTCCATTTGTTAAGCAGACTTCACGCGCATTTCACTTGTCACAAACAACACAAAGAAAAAAAAATAGCTAAAATTTTTTCCACATGTCGTTCTCTGATGAATATTTAATAAAAGCGAAACATGTTAGATTTATAAACGTTTCGTGTTATATATATATATATATATATATATATATATATATATATATATATATATATATGTATATATATATATATATATATATATATATATATATACGTATGTACGTATATGTGTGTATATATATATATACAAATGTTATGACAAATTGGAAAAATAATTTTTTCCAATTTGTCATACTATTTTTCTAAATACTGCTTGTTGATATATAACATTATATAAAATTATATATCGTTATACTATACATATATATACATATATATATATATATATATATATATATATATATATATGTGTGTGTGTGTGTGTGTACGTACGCGTGTGTGTGTATGTATATATATATATATATATATATATATATATATATATATATATATATATATATATATATTAATCGTTTCACCGCAAGCAAAAGCAATAAAACCACTAAAATTAAGGGGTTACTGAGTGTGAAAGAATGTGAGAAAAAACACTATTAAGAAGAGAGAACAGGAATACAATACTAGAATATATATATATATATATATATATATATATATATATTGATAGCAACCTTTCTTTTAAACTTTTCGTTGAATATGACAGAAAAGGAAAGTTTAATCATTTAATCTTTTACAATTAATATAAATACACTAAATCAAAAAAACAAAAAGCATTCATTTTTTCCTGTCTGCCATATTCAACAAACGGTTAAAAAGAAAGGTTGCTGCTAAAATAAACATTAATATATATATATATATATATATATATATATATATATATATATATATATATATATATATATGTGTGTGTGTGTGTGTATCTGTATATGTGAGCGTGTTTTATTAACGCATGTCGAAGACATTCGATGACTAAATGGACGAATCAGTTGCCAACAATTTCTTCTTAGTCTCAGGCAAAAATCGGTTTGAACCAACGAAGCGATATACTTCACACAGTTCGGACATTTGGCCAGTAGATAAAATTAAAAAAAAAAACAGAGAGAAAAGATTTAAAACTTATCCAACCGTAAGGGCCATTATTTAATGTTTAGTTTTTTTGTCAACGTTACCATCATAACATTCGTAGTAACCACAACGCGTAACTTTAAAAGAACCGGCCTCTCTATATTTGCTCGATGTCGCATGCGTCAGAAGCCACCCGTTATGCCATTCACTCTCACTATTTCGGGGTAGACGCCAGCTGAGAGCGGACGGTGGCCACGGTCAGCAATCTCCCCTGGAACAACAAACTGCTTCTTTTTATACTGACCGTCTTTCAGTAAATTACAATAATTAGTGATTGACCTGCAAACAACGTCAAATTTCTGCTCGTTTCCGGTCTCTCGCATTGCAATCTACACGAATAGCTTAGAAAGATGGAATCCCCTGCACTCGAACCGCCAGCGATTTCAACGATGCAAGAGGCCCAAGAGATTTTTCCAGCCAACAGAAAAATGGAATGCCCTGAAATGATGGAACCTCTTAGGTCAGCAACCGTAGAATGCCCCCAAAATGTCGATTCCTTGATGGCGCCTACAGTCGAAGAATCTTCGAAAACATCTGAAGAAGAATGTCAGAAAGACGAAGCAGATATTTCTATGTCTGCGACGACTCAGGAACATGACCAAAGTTTGGATTCTTCGACGTCGGCATGTGAAATCTATCCCATGGAAGCAACGTGTGAGTCGAAATCTTCCAATGGAACAGAACCTTCAGAAGAAACTGTCATGGACGCAAGCGGGGATATGGATCCTGAGAATAACGTCGAATCATTTGACCAAAACGAGATAAAACAACCTAGTGGTTCCAGTTTCGAAACGGCATCAGTGCCAAGTATGGACTCTTCGGAGGAAACTCGGCAAGATGCAGAAAACCAGGGCTTTACTGCCAATGAATGTTATCAAGCAGAACCTATTCAGACTCCGACTGTTGCATACCAGGAAAGTATCTTAGAATTGCCAATTTCAACCACAATAGAATATTCTGATAACGTAGAAATGTCAAAGACAGTTACCGTTCCGGTACAGACAATTTACCCAATTTTACAACGAAAGGAATGCCCAGAAAGTCTTGAAGAAGACTCGGAATTTGACCGCGAAGAAAACACGGAAATTCCAATGGTTCCGTCCCCTGAAAATGAACTGCCATCTGAAGGGCAAGTGAGTTAATTCTATAATTAATATTTGGCTTTTGGCTTTAAGTTTTCGATTGTTCAGTATTTTTTGCTTTACTGCGATGCTCTAGTTTTTGTCGATTATATCCCATTTGATTTGACAATTCTTTACAATAGGTTTGGTTGGTTGTCAGCTAAGGAACCCTACTTTAATGTTTATAGGTTTTTCTTAAAATCACCCGCCGACTGAATGGCACATTACAAAAGTTCGGCCTGAGATTTCTAGGTTCTCTAGGGCTGTGTCACTGACTACGATTTGATTTGATTTGTTTCTTTAACGGGTTTTTGAAGTAATAAAAATAAGATGGGTTATTCTACTGTCACAATTGAATACATGGTAGATGATACTCAGATTTTGTGCATATACATGTTTGTGTGGACATAATTACTAGAGGCAGTTATCTGTGTGTTTTATGCTGTAGTTTTCATGAAGTTATATTTTGGAATACAGTTTGATTTAAGAACTTGTAGGATATTATATGGATTAATGTCATAAAAAAGTTCTTTCATGTTGACTGGTTGGTTGATTTTGTTTAGCCGCGTATCAACCTCTATGAGTTATTTAATGCCGAAATCTAAATATATATAACACATTTTTGGCCTCAACTAAATATATTTTGACCGCAATTTATGCCATCAAATACAGATAAAATGTATTGTTGGTAATTTTACTATAAATATGTATTGTTGATAGTTTTTGTTTGATGTAAAAAAAAGTATTCTTGGTACTTTTACTATAAAATGTATTTTTATACTATCATAGTGGCTTTTGTTTGAAGGTTCACGATTTGCCCATAGCTGTGAGCCTTAACAGGTGCTACCACTCTGGGTCAGGGTAGACCTGGGAACAATAGCAATTAAGAGTTGGTTCCACGCTCCTCAAAACCGCCAATTCCCCGATCAGTGGCCTTTCTGTCGGATGTAGTTTATCATCATACCAAGGACTAACCACTGACTATAGTTCTGACTCTAGTTCTATTGGGAGATGCTGTATGGAGAAATGGATCCCCAGTTACCAGCGAACATTTCATTTTTTAAAAGTTTTTAATCATTTCGTTCACTCACCTGAAAGCAGTAAAGTATTGGTATTATATTTAGGAGTAAAAGGATATCTCGTCATGGATTTTGTTAACATGTTAATAACTCAAACAATACTTCTTTTCTATGTCATGACCCACCACAACTTCCTATCCTTCTTAGCATGAAGTAATACTTGTTACTATCTTTCGCACTCCTTGTTATGCCATCTACTTCAGTTCGTTAGGTATGTAACACGTTTTTTCCTTCTGTCCCACTTGCCTTCAAGATGTCCTGTGGGTGTTAAATTCTCCACGCGCACTTTTCTCATTATCTGAACTCCCGATTTCTGATTCTAAGTAAAAGCGTTTTTTCTTATTTCTATTTTCCTTAAAACTTCTTCGTTATTCACATGTTCAGTCCATGATATTCTCAGCATCCTTCTGTAGAACCACAATTCTGTTACCTCAAGTTTCCTATGAGGAGATTTTCCAGCATTCGCTGCTATATAGGAGGGTTAATATTACATAGCAGGAAATACTATTTTTTTTTAGTTTGTGATGAAATTTACCTGTTTCTTAATACTTTGCTTAGCTTTTGGAAGGCATCTTACACTATTCGATTGTGCCTTCTGATTTCCCGGTTTCTGTACAATCACTAAAATTAAGTAACGTCGAGCCTGGTCAATACTTAGATGGGTGACCGCTTCGGAATGCCAGGTTCTGTAAGCTTGGATGTGCGGCTGGTGTAATGGATAATGGGTCGGAATTGTTAATAGGAGGGCCGAGTTCCAATTTCAGTTGGGTTCGATATATTCACTTACTCGCAAATAGCCTTGGGATAGGGTATTTTTCCACCAGCTATGGGATTTGTCAGACTTTAAATAACCTGTAACGGGTTGATAAGTCGTAGAAAACGAATCAATCAATGAAATACTGATTAGCTACACAGGCATGTCTTTAGATTTATTTACATTCTCTGTAATAGAAATGTATAAAAACTACCGTGGTCACAAGGTGAGGGATCAGTTTATATGTTGATTTTAATATAGAATTGATCCCCCACTTTATATCCACATTATAATTTCTTGTTTGTTGATAAGTCGTAGAAAACGAATCAATCAATGAAATACTGATTAGTTGCACAGGCATGTCTTAGATTTATTTACATTCTCTAGAATATAAATGTATGGAAACTACCGTGGCAACAAAGTGAGGGATCAGTGTGTATACTGATTGTGATATAGAATTGATCCCTGATTTTATGTCCACCTTAAAATTTCTCGTTTAGTATCTGTCTATATTTCTGGGATAAGGTATTATGTACACCATTTACATTATTCAGACTTTTGTCCTCATCTTTGTTGCCATATTTATCACGTTTCGGCCGTTGTACGCTACGACCTTCTTCAGGTAGTTGGAATGTCGAACTGAACCCTTTATTTTGATCACTGGGGTAGTTTAGTTGCACGTGCCATGTCTAATGGATGTCAGTTATCCCCAAAACGTTGTGATGAATATGGCAAGAAAGATGAGGACAATAGTCCGAAAAAAGTAAATAGTGTACAATTTCTCGTGTGTTTATCAAATTTTCATTAGATATGAATTTATCTCAGGTACTGGTTAATTAGTACGACTTGTCTCATTAAATCATTACTATCTCTCACCTCTCACCAGCATTATTATCGCCAAAATATATTCTTACAATCTAAAAATATTTTCTGGCTTTAAATAACCTTCAAAGGGTTGATAAACCGTAGAAAATGAATTAATCAATCAATCTACTGATTAAGCAAAAGAAATTTAAAGAATAAAATTAATTAACTAGTAAAGCATTATTATCGCCAAAATGAATATATTCTTAGAATTTAAAAATATTTTCTGGCTTTAAATAACCTGCATAGGGTTGATAAACCGTAGAAAACGAATCAATCAATCAATCTACTGATTAAGCAAAAGAAATTTAAAGAAGAAATTAGTAACACTTGTAAAGCATTATTATCGTCAAAATATATTCTTAGAATCTAAAAATATATTTTCTGGCTTTAAATAACCTGCAAAGGGTTGATAAACCGTAGAAAACGAATCAATCAATCTTCAGATTTTGATGCCTTTAATCCGTAACTATTGCTCATTCTCTTTTTTTTACAATTGATGGTTAGTTTTTTTTTTTTGTTCCTCCCGCTTTCCTTTGCTATCTTGTCTAGGAAAATGACTGCTTTAATAATATTGGGGATTGGAGTCTCGTTTGGCGCTAAGCGTAATGATTGTTATACGAATTAGAGAAATTCATGTATCTGATTCGCTTTAATTATTGTTAACCATATCGACATTTCACAAATAGACGTGATAATGCAGTTAACCTATCATTTTATCACGTACAACTGTAATACTATATTCCATCATCCTGCTTGGACGTGAAATCGAATTTAATATCTCATTTGTGGTGACGACTCTCACCGCAGACATTTTGAAATTAGTAGCTCTTCGCCCTAAGTTATAAATTAGTATCATTGTTATATGTTGAAACTAAGAGACGGAAAAGTGTTTTTAAATAATAAAAAGGACATATCTCCTCCAGATGTCAAGTCAGTAACTGTGATGTGTCATTCCTCTCAAACGTATAATAATATATATCGGATTATGTTGAAACAGCGCTTCTCATACGATTACCGGTTAAGCAACGTCGAGCCTGGTCAGTACCTAGATGGGTAACTGTTTGAAAATGCCATATGCTGTAAATTTGGATGTGCGAGTGGTGTAACGGATAACGGTGTAGATTGTTAATCGGAGACCCGGTTCCAATTCACTTTAAAATTTCCCGTTTGTTCATCAAATTCTGATTAGGGATGAATATATCTCTTCTCCCCTCAACTATGGGTTAATTAGTAAGACTTGGCTCATTAAATCATTATTATCTTCCCCCACCAAATTCTTAGAATTTAAAAATATTCCAGGCCAGTTCATTGTATTCACATACGTGCAATAACCTAAGGAAAGGTATGAATTTACCTCTTTCCCCCCAAACTATGGGTTAATCACTAGGACTTGTATCAGTAAATTGGTATCTCCAAAAACTTCTTAAAATCTAGAATATTTTCTGGCTTTAAATAACCTGAAACGGGTTGATAACCTGTAAAAAAGAAATAAAAAAATAATATACAAGTGAATGATTTTTTTCATTAAAAATGTAAATGCAAGAAATATCAAAACATTCACACATTATTTTGGTAAGAAAACACGCAGATGATAATGTTTAGCTTTTTTTTTAATCATTTCACCCCGAATAGGCAATAAAGCCACTAAGACGCAAGGAGTGTGGGGTTACTAGGAGTGAAAGTGAATGAGAAGACATTAGAAGAAAGAACCGGAAACCCTTCTTAAACAAGAAGCAAGGGATAAACATCTACCCCTGTTTAAAAGACGGTGAAGGAGTGTGAGCCGGTTGAAAGAAAGATTTTCCTGTCGTGTCATGGAGAAAATATAAGTAGTTTTCTGAAGAAATGAAGCATCATCAATACTTGGACGAATGCTTAAGGAGATGATGCCTTGTATCATATTAACCCTAGCTTATTAAATAGGAAGTAGACTGGTCAGGTTTTTAAAATGCCATGTCGCATCAGTACATTGGTGATTATGGTTCTCTTCAGCTTCCTTTTCGTTAATATTTGGACTCAGTGGAAACAGGGCGAGCAAGAATTGAGCAGTACTAAAAAGTAAGAACTAGATGAGATATCCCGAGACTTGGGCTGTGGAACGAGAATAGTTTACACACGTAGATTAAATCTAGGGTTCAGTTCGGAATTCCCTGTAGGTTACCTAGATCGATATACCCCTGATGAAGTCCGGAGGGTACAATGGCGGGAACGTTGTGATAACAAGAACGGAGAAGAAAAAAAACAACAACAAAAAAAAAAAAAAAACCAAACCAAAACAAAAAACTAATAACCTACCTGAAGAACTTGAGTGAATAGTTGGC